TCGTGAACGGTTAAAAGTGAAATTTCAGCCCGAAATTCCCCATTTTTAACCCCACCGTCACCTTCAACCTCTCGAGTTTGTAATTTTTGAGGGCTAGGGCACATCTAAAGTGAAAATTTCTTGGTGGAATTAAGTGAAATTTGCTAGATCCAAGTTCCTTGAGGTAAGAGCTTTACTTCTATGCAAAAATTTTGGATTTTCACCATGTATTTTGAGCACATTTGGAGAAATTAGAAAATCCACTATTCATGATGAAAAATGAGGAAAAATCTATGGATATTGCATTAGAAGTTTAGTTTGTGCTTGTGGAAGTTTAGTTTACTAGTTTAGACTTGATTTTTGAAGATATTTTTGGAATTTATAAAATTTGTAGAATTGCACAAAGAATGAAGAGGAGCAAAGGAAAGAGCCCTTTTGATTCTATTAAATTTGTTAATTCGAAGGCTCAAAATCGGTACAGTGAAGTGTTTCAATCACGAAAACTGATTCAGGAGCGTTGTTTTAAGAATTCAGGTAGAGAAGTGTAAGATCTGATTGTTCACTTAGAGGATTTGATCGTTCGCCGACACTGGGAATGATTTTGCTGTTTCTCTGTTATGGCGGTTATTTTTGTTGTTAGGGAGTTATATGCAAACCACCTTGAGGCTGGAGACAATAGAGTCATGGTTCAAGGAAAGTTGGTACCTTTTTCACTGGAGGTAATCAACTTGTTTTCTCATCTGCCACCTAATACGTTATGTTTTTTATGAAAATTTTTGTCCGACTGAAGCGGAGTTAGACGAGATTATTTCCTACTTGACTGTTGGAAGAGTACTTTGGAAGATCACTAATGAGAGGAGAGTCAACTTCCCAACTTTAAAGTTATGTGTACCTTCAAAGGCCTGACACTATTTTATTTCTGCTCGTCTGCTACCAACAAATCATTTCAATGAAGTGAACAGAGAGAGACCAACGTTAAATTATTGTATCCAAGAAGGAAAGCTCACCAACATTAGAGCTTTGATTTATCAGACTAT